ATGTATGTATGTATGTATGTATGCATGTATGTATGTATGTATGTATGTATGTATGTATTATATATATTATTTATGTGGCGGTGCGTCAGGATGTGTCAGTACGCTTTAAAAGGCATTTGGGTGCAGCAATAGATTATTCTAGATATATAGATATTTATCCCTTACTTCCCTAAAGCATAGAAATAGTATACACGACTCTTAAAACACACAAATAATCTCGAACGTATACTTTACTATTTACTAATCTCGCTAGACGTCACAGCAACGCGATAAGACCAAGCAAATGCGTGGACCAGAGCTCTTGATAGTATAAGGAGCTTCCGCCTAGCAACCAGCACGAGAAGCATGCATAGCTGATATATTTTATCGTCGGTCTTTTTTTTTCTTGTTTAATTAGCCGATAGACGTTCCTCGATCGTTGATACTGATATCAAAGTGGCTCATGTCTAAGGCAGGGATGATGTCATGTATGTTAAATTTCGGATCTTAAGGCTTTACCTGTTACGGTAGTGTAGTATCGGATCAAATAAGAATCGCCAAACATAACTACATTCTTATCATGCATATCAACACAGTCATTAAGAACATAGTTTCTACACACGGCGAATGATCCCGTAAGATTTTTTATACATGTTTAATAAGCCGTGGTGTTTATGGTAACACTGAAAAATCGTCGCTCATAGCTGATCATATCTTAATGCACTCATATCTTAATGCACTCACTTATATAACTCACTTAATGCACTCACTCATCTTATCACTTAATGCACTCATATCTTTATAAATATACATATTGACTCAGTATGCTGTGCATGGACCATCGGGTTTGTGAGCGAGCGGTTTTGAGCTATGTCGTACGCTGCTGTCCACCCGTCCATCCATCCATCCATCCGTCCATCCATTCATCCATCCATCTATCCATTCATCCATCCATCCATCCATCCATCCATCCATCCATCCATCCATCCATCCATCTATCCATCCATCCATCCATCCATCCATCATTCATCCATCAATCCATCAATCAATCAATCCATCCATCCATCCATCCATCCATCCATCCATCCATCCATCCATCCATCCATCCATCCATCCATCCATCCATCCTATCCATCCATCCATCCATCCATCCATCCATCCATCCATCCATCCATCCATCCATCCATCCATCCATCCATCCATCCATCCATCCATTTATCCATACATCCATCCATCCATCTATCCATCCATCCATTTATCCATACATCCATTCATTAATCCATCCACTCGTCATAAGCATAATTTATTAATACATTATTTTAGTACGTATACAGGTCTGATTATATTGCAGAAGACCAACATGACTGGAACAACTATGCACAAAACCGAATAAAGGACACTCTAAGTCGCGTTCCAAACGAAAATGTTGCCAAAAACATCATTGTTTTTCTCGGAGATGGTACGTGAGTTAGTATATACGTGATGCGCTTACTTGCGCTTGCCTGTGCGCGTATATGCGCATGTGCCTGGATGTGCGTATAACAAGAATGATGATGATGATGATGATGATGATGATGATGATGATGATGATCATCATCATCATAATAATAATGATGATATGACAATAATAATAATATTAATATTGTTATTATTATTAATAATAGTAATGATAATAATAATAATATCAATAACAATAATAATGTTGTTGTTGTTGTTGATAATGATGATGATGATGATGATGATAATGATTTAATAATAATAATTATAATAATACTAATAATAATAATAATAATAATAATAACAATAAGATATATATAAGTGTTATATTGCCACCAAATACAGGTATGGGACTACCAAGTGTTGCGGCTGGCCGTATACTTAAAGGTCAGTTGAATGGTCAAACCGGCGAAGAGGAAGTGCTTAGCTTTGAGCAATTCGCTTACACGGGTCTTGCAAAGGTAAATATGTGTGCATGTGGTTGTGTGTGTGCGCGCAGATGTGTGAGCATAAAGTAAGAGTCACTGCTCACGACAGTTTTTACGATATTTGTCTAGTAGCATATGCGATTGACTATGTAGAATGTTTGAATAGATTAGTTACGAACGGCAACATCTTTGCCTGATCGTGGTCATGTTTGCAGACGTACACCGTGGATAGGATGGTAGCAGATTCAGCTGGAACGGCAACGGCTTACCACTGCGGCGTGAAGTCGAACTTTGAGACAATAGGGGTGGACAGCAGTGCCGTCTTTAATGATTGCAACTCATCATTTGGGGCCGAATTGGATTGCATTGTTCAGGTTATAATTATTATTTACTATTACTACTGCGAGTACTTACTAAGAGTCTGCTGCGCAGATCAACAAATTTCCCTTCTTACCACTAGTGGGCGCAGGCGGAGGGTAAGTCGACGGGCTTCGTAACGACGGCGAGGGTGACACACGCCAGTCCGGGGCCGCTGTACGCTCACTCCGCATCGCGCTACTGGGAGAGCGACTACGACAAACCGAGCAACGCCAGCGCCTGCAAGGACATAGCCGCACAGCTGATCCAAAACACACCGGGCAGGAATATACAGGTGAGAGGATGACGCGGATGATGATGGTGAAGGTGACGGTGACGACACCATTATGCGGATGACAATGACAATGATGATAAGGAGGATGTTGTTGTTGTTGTTGTTGTTGTTGTTGTTGTTGTTGTTGTTGTTGTTGTTGTTGTTGTTTTTGTTGTTGTTTTTGTTGTTGTTTTTGTTGTTGTTTTTGTTGTTGTTGTTGTTGTTGTTGATGATGATGACGACATGATGATGATTATGATGATGGTGATGATTACGATAATGATGATGACGGTAATCGCGGTATTCGTGACGATGAATGGCTGTCGCAATGATGTCAATGATGCAGGCCATGGTAAAAACAGTGATAGTGATGTTAACAGGAGTCTATCAATATATATTTATTGATAGACTCCTGATGTTAACGATAACGAGAATAAGCACAATTAAAACGCCGAAGACGGTGTAGGCGGCGGGGTCGGAACATGAAACCACAGATAGCATGAATTCGTTGCGTTCCAAGGTTATCCTTGGCGGTGGTCGGCGGGGATTCCTCCCTAACACGACATCTGATCCCGAGTACCCGGACAAGACCGGTCGACGCCAAGATGGCCACGATCTTATAAATGACTGGTTGGAGGGAAAATCCGCCGAAAGGGCGCACTACGTGTGGGAAAAAGCAGCCTTCGATGCAGTGAATCCAGACAAAACGGACTACCTCCTTGGTGTGTGACGTGCGCCATCACTAATGCAACAGAACATTTAGTTTTTCCATGGTTGCTATAATTTTTGGCCGGTTGTTTAACGTGCAGTGTGTGAATAAAATTTAATAATTTTTTTTAGTAAATTTGTTAGCGAAATGTTTTCATAATATTTACTCCTGAACGCCTGCGTACATATACAAACACATATTCACATGTATATGTATATAAATCAAATTCATTAATTATTCAATAAAAATAAATAAACAAGTTAATTAATCAAAATAAATGAACAAATTAATTAAGTAATGAAAAAATATCGATGTAATTGACAATAATTAAACATGTGTTGCGTGTTGATAGGACTCTTTGAAGACAGTCACATGAGATACGAGTTGGAGAGAAACACCGGAACGAACTACAGCGAGCCGAGTCTGGCAGAGATGACAACCAAGGCCATCAAGATCTTGCAGAAAAATCCCAATGGCTTTTATTTATTCGTTGAAAGTATGTGTTGATTGTAATACCTTCTAGGTCATGTCAGAGAAAAAAAAGAAGCGAGAGAGATGGGAATGAGGCGAGAGAGGGGGAGAAAGACGGAGAAGAATTTGCTCATCTATCTATCTATCTATCTATCTATCTATCTATCTATCTATCTATCTATCTATCTATCTATCTATCTATCTATCTATCTATCTATCTATCTATCTATCTATCTATCTATCTATATATATATCTATCTATCTATCTATCTATTGATTTATCTATCTACCTACCTATCTAT